GAGATTTCTTTTGGCTCTACACATCACATTTGAATTCAATGGACACCCTTAAAATGCATGTTGCATGTAGTTTTATGAATTTCTATCACATGGTAACAGGTCTATTCACTTGCCAAACAAACAACAAACGTGTGTAAAATGTCCATTGGCACACAATTATTGTAAAACATTGACAATAAAAATATGTGATAATGCGCACACCTAGGCATCTGAACCACCTTAGCTACCTTGAGCTCAAAGGAGTTACAGTAATGGCTAAAAATATAGGCACCCCTGCATTTCTGTCAGATAATGCACCACTTCACGCAGAAAATTGCTGCAAGTACAAATGTTTAGGCATTCTCATGTTTATTTCTTTGTATTGGTATGACACAAAAAAGTTGAGAAGAAAAAGCCAAATCTGACACATTCCACAGACAACTCCAAAAATAGATTGGACAAAGTTATTGGCACCTTCTCATAATTGCATTCCAAGTTTGTGATGCTCCTGTAATTTGTAATTAAACTCACCTGTATCAAATAACAGGTGGTGACAATATAGAAATCACACAATGAGTCCAGATCTGAATCTCATAGAGCGCCTGTGGGGAGATCTCAAAACAGCAGTTGGGAAAAGGAATCCTTCCAATCTGAGAGACCTGGAGCAGTTGGCGAAAGAAGAGTGGTCCAAAATTCCTGTAGAGAGGTGTAAGAAAATCATTGATGGTTACAGGAAGCGATTGGTTTCAGTTATTTTTTTCCAAGGGCTGTGCCACCAAATATTAATTGGAGGGTGCCAATAATTGTGTCCAGTCCATTTTTGGAGTTTTGCATGGAATGTGTCAGATTTGGCTTTTTTTCCATAAGAATGCCTAAACATTTGTAATTGCAACCATTTTCTGCGTGAAGTGGTGCATTATGTGACAGAAATGCAGGGGTACCAATATTTTTGGCCATGACTGTATGACTAAACCGATCTTGTCCGCTAGACTGGAATTTGTTTGTACCATCTGCTCTGCACCCTGCCGTCGACAAATAGGATTTCTGACGCTAGTAAAAATGTACTCTTTTAACATTAAAGTGGCATTCCCCCCCTGCTACTTTAAGGACTTACCTTAAATGATGCCTCTTGATACGATCATCTTCTTTGCAGTCGTTTTCAGGAGTCCCTTCAGCCGGCCGCTGATCCAGCGCTTGTGACGCAGTAAGAGCAATAAGTCTAGGGCCATCAATCACTGATAACACTAAACTGATGAGCGGTAAAAGCTTTTAAAGCGTCGCCTATGGCCAATTTTGGGTATGGTAGTTTTCTGCAATTTCGCGGGTGCGCGCAATTTTAAAGCTTGACATGTTTGGTGTCTATTTACCCGACGTGACCTGATCTTTTATATTTTACCAAAAAACTGGTTAATAATAAATGTTTCCTAACATAATGTAAAAAAAAACTTTTTTTTTTCAAAATTTTCTGTAATTTTTCCTAATTATAATAAAAAATAAAAACCCCAGTGGTGATTACCCCCAAAATAAAGCCCTATCTGTCCCCAAAAAATGGTATAAAATTCATTTCAGTACAGCGTTGCATGACGGAATAAACGTCAGTCAAAGGACTGCAGCGCTGAACACTGAAAAATGGCCTGGCCAGGAAGGGGGTCTAAACACCTGGTCTTGAAGTGGTTAAACGAGCGGCAGCGGCTCCACAATGTACATTCAGCTCTGCTTGTCCGGAGCCGGGCTGAATGTACTTTAAAACTACTCGCCCGGCGGCCGAAACTGCATGTCCCGGGGGAGCTGTTCTGTGTAGTTCCTGACAGCGGAGACAGGTGGCGCTGTGATTACAGCACCACGGTCTCAGAACACACAGCCCGTAGAGCAGACGTTTTTCGTCTGCTGTATGGCTGAGCCGTTGTGCCTTAGTTTTCGGGGTCCCCCGGGAGACGTCTCCAATTTTTGTTTCCCTTTAGTAGTCTTCCCACCGCTTACCCCACCTCCGACGAGCGCCCTACACGGGGTAAAACTCTCAACTTTTCGTGAAAAATTGAATAGTTGTCACTACTATTATTTTGCACTCGATGAGCAGGGGCTGGGCTTACCCAAATATTAAATGATGGGTTTCAGATTCTGGCATGCATACGCGCTACACTTCCACTGCAAGGAAACTAAACGCATTGACTGGCCGTACGTTTTTTCAGTAGTTCTGAATTATAAAGCGGTAGTCTATTCTTTCCATTTATTAGAAATCATGGGAGCAAACACCATCACAGCAAGGATTAGTGCTGTAGTCAGTCTTCCAGAAGCAGGAGCTTTGACAAATTACTAAAATATTTCTGGTGTGAAGCTGACCCTTTAGCCATGTTTTTTGTTCCTTAAACGTCCGACCTAACATGAAATTCCTTTGCTCCTGTCCCAGAAACCTGCTGATCCAGACAAGATCTTCAGATTTACAAAGTGTAATTAAGGACAAACTGCAAATCTACCAGACCCCAACCCATATGAAATTCTATAACCTCGTTACAGAATTGCAGGGTAGCAGATCACAGCCATGTGCTGGGCATTTGGTAGTAAAAGTTGTTTGCTTAGACAACAAAGATTTGAGTCAATTATAATTGTCAATGTTTGGGTAATAAGCAGATATAACCAAGTGTTTTGAAATGACAGAAATTACTGCTGTTCAAAAAAAGTCTTCCATTTTGGAAGGAGGTTATTCTAAGTATTGAACACTTTGCAGGGACTCTGTATACAAGCCTGTGTGCAAAGGTAATCAATCGGCTCAATACACAGTGTTAAAGGAGACATATATTGGGAGAATATAATGTACTCTTCCCAGTACTTTGAGCCGGTGTGTGACACTGGCTCTACAGATCGAGTACTGAGTGATCACTCAGGTCAGTCTTCACCCTGCATAGAGTGGTCACTGTCCCCACTGGGAGTTACCCTTCCCCTCTCTGTTCCTGCAGCCCTTAGTGGAGGGACAGGATGGGGAGGGGGTGGACGCAACTGGCTCTGGCTCTAGAGATGCAGAATCGGGCAAGGGGGTGGATCCAGGACCTTTTCTGGCTGCAGCGTAGCTATATGCTGAGTTTGGGGTCACAGGAGTACATTAGTAGATGCACTTCTTTCACCCATAAGAGGACTTAGGCCAAAAAAAAGGTTTGACTTTAGTTCTCTTTAACACCAGCTTACAGCTTGGGTATACACGGTGAGAATTTTTCTGTTCGGCATGGGCGGAGGAATCTTGCTGCGGCTATTGTATGAATACCCAAACATTTGCTGCATCCGATTGGCTGTAGATGCTTTTTGGACCACAATTTTCTGCCTGGCTTGATTCTTAAAGTGAAGGATGTTGGGAGACAGCTGACAGACGGGACCACCCACTGAATGAGTACAAGGCATTCTGTGATTGGACAACAGGCATAAGTACATCACAATCTCCCTTTTGTTGAATCATAGAAAACCTTCTATTGTATGAAAATAATGTAAGATATTTTTAGGGCGGTGCTGCAGAGTAAGTGGCCGGCAGTTAACCCCCGTGTTCCTGCTCTGACCGTCCGTTTCACCAATGAGACGTAAGCGTTGACATCACCGTTGGAGACTGCATGTACACTATATTACCAAGAGTATTGGGACGGCTGCTTTTACACGCACATGAACTTTAATGGCATCCCAGTCTTAGTCCGCAGGGTTCAATATTGAGTTGGCCCACCCTTTGCAGCTATAACAGCTTCACTCTTCTGGGAAGGCGATCACAAGGTTTAGGAGTGTGTCTATGGGAATGTTTGACCCTTCTTCCAGAAGCGCATTTGTGAGGTCAGGTACTGTTGTTGGACGAGAAGGCCGGGCTCGCAGTCCCAGCTCCAATTCATCCCAAAGATGTTTTGTGGCTGAGTTGCTGTTGTTCCCAGTTGCTTCCACTTTGTTATAATCCCACTAACAGGTGACCGTGGAATATTTAGTAGCAAGGAAATTTCACGGAACCCCTGAATCCAATAATTTGGAGGGTTGTCCCAATACTTTTGGTAATATAGTGCAAGTAACATTTTTCAAGAAAGAAACCGCAGCCACACACCTCATCAAAGTTATTTTATTGGTGCCCAGCTAATGCCCCAGTAAAGTGTTAGCCCAAGCTTCAGTTTTTAAGGTGCACATATAGTTAATGCTCAGACAAAGCTGCTGATGGTTGTATGAGATGGAGTTGCCTGAGAGTCCAACCCAAAGCCCCTTTGGTTGAGTTAATATGACCAAATTTCAGCATTGGGCCATGTAACTAGCGCAAGCAAGGATTCAAGGTAGGTATGTCTTTTTCTTTTTTTTAACAACGGTAAAAATCAGCGCAGAATCACACAAGTAGGATTCTATTTCCTATATAATTTACTGTATAGGTGACTGGCACTCTGCAAATGTATGGGCTTGCAAGGAAGCCCAAGCTTTTTTGTTTATTTTGTCTTACTAAATCCACCAAGTAGGATTAGATTTTTCAGTATAGTTCTGTTTAAAAGGCGATTAACAGACCACTGGCACTTTGTAGATGAGAAGACTTGCAAACAACCCTACGCTTTTTTGATGGTGACATAGAAAATTGTACTGAATCTCTTAGCCAGAGTTTACATTGCAGGTGTCTGCTAGTTTGTGTTGAGGGATGTCTATGTAGAAAATGTTCAAACTATGTTCTGCGGCTTCTGGCTGAGTGTCGATTAGGACAACTGTTGATAGATGAGTGAGACTGGGTTAGACCAGCTGAAAAATAAATGATAGTCCTGTAATTTCATAGTATCCCCTTATCAAAGTGTAGTCTAAAGTCCTATCTGAAATCAACATAGATGAGGCAAATGACCAAATAAACTCAGCTAGAGTGAATAGTGGGACCGTGGCCAGGAGTTTACTAGATGAAGAAACCACTGTTTTAGCTCCAACACTGCGATTTTGGGGGTATAGATGTTTCTTTGGCCCTGGAGTACAGCCAGATAGCAATACCCAGCAGCCCCAGAGACATTAAACAGAGTCACAAAGCTCTTCTCTTGTTGCAGGCGTTGGATGAAGATGTCGCAACAAGCGGGAAACAAAACCAATGGCACAGCCGGCCAGTGTCTGACTGGAACACCCAGCAAGTGTGTCACTGGTTAATAGGAATGAATATGGAGCAATACATCACAGAGTTCACAGCAAAGAACATTGATGGACAGCAGTTAATGCTACTGGATAGTGACAGACTGAAGGTAAGGTCCAGAATTCTCTATCTGCACTAATCACCAATGAAAAGTTACCAAGGATGACGCTGCTTTATACAATATATAAAAGGGAAACATTATTTTGGACTGGTTTAATTTTAAAGCTGAAATCCCAGCAGATATAAAAGACACAATTGATTCCAGCTCTGTATTGATACATCATTTAATGTTTTTCATCCATACTGCCGCCTGTAGGAGGCTTGGACACAGACTGTAGGACAACTATTACTACCACCAGCATGCCTCCAGCTGTGCTGGTAAAAGCCTAACCTAGTTTGCTAGCATGTTCCTTAATTTTTCTCTTTAATCAGAATTCTCCTCTACATTGCTACTATCCCAACCTGGCTACTGGTCGTTCTCCTAAAAGAAAATGTTCATCTCTTTTGAGGCCTGTAAGTCCAAAGACTCTGTGGCTAGCTAGAACACATATATTTTACTGATAATCATCCTTCCAGGTCTCTGACTCTTCAGTCTTGCCCCAGCACCCCGAGTTTTTTCCAGAATGCTGCCCTCAGTGCCTTCTCATGACACATAGACCATCTTCTGTTGAGAAAACAGTCCACGTGGGTCCTATTGGAAATGGTCCTAATTTCTCCAAGATTCAGATGAATATTGTATTGGTGCTGGAAGTGTTGCAGAAGAGTCCTGTGTCGGTGGCTCACTCTTTTTCTCCAGTATCTTTTTTTTTTCTGCTAAAGTGAATCCAGTTTCTGAGCAGACCGACTTGTCTGCCCTTGAGGATCAGGTAGTTTTTTGCCTGATGAATCTGTCTTTCAGTTCTGCGGTTGGGGAAAACTTCTCTCCACACTTTCTGGGATCCTGTAATCTGAGAATTCTCATCTCCTCTTGTTCTATGTTCAGGAGTTCCAGAACAGGGTGGTTCCTCCATCGTAACCTACCTGGGTAAGTCTCTTGACACCTATACAGTACCAGCGTGCCTCCACCATCGAGGAGGAACAGGATATCTTTTTATAATGGGAAGTAGTTTGGATCCTTGCTTGGACAATCCTTTCCACTCTATTCTTTTCAAGTGCAGTTTTCTGGAGGACAGCTTTTCCTAGCTGGTTGCTTTTGTTTGTTTCACAGACTCATGTGGAAGGCCTTTCTGGGGATCTCCCCTGCTTTAGATTTACTCATACGAATGTGTATTTGCTGGCCTAATGACTCTTAACTGTTGCTTCACGGATTCTAATGCAACATTGGATCTCCAGAACATATCTAGTCCTGTGCCTTTTCAAAGCTGTAGGAGAGGCGGGATATTTCAGCAAGTTTCCCTTAGGAGAGAAAAACACCCCTGGGGTGAAGCCCTAACAGATGGATGGGATTTGAGCTTGGTTTTGAACTCTATAAGGTCTGCATTCCTCCTGGCTAATCTATGGTGAAATCTACCTTTTTATCCTCTACCTAACCTGTGTATGGGAAGTTCCCATGTACCCTTCCCCATTGTGGGATCAGGTCCCTCTACTAGAACATCTTTCTCAGGGTTTTCTGTCTGGTCCTAACTCTTGGAGGAACTAATTTTTCCTTGTTGCCCATGGTTCAGGCTGTGAGTCCTTCCTTGTATGAAAATTCTTTTTATTTCCACCCTTCTTGTTGGATCAGGGAGAGCAGCTTGCAAAGTTGTGGTCTATGGTTTGGTGTTTTCTTTCCCATGTCCAGACATTTCTCACTAGTTATGCATTTTCTTATTTTTCTGGTATTAAGCATTAGTGCTAAATTACTACTTGGTTTTGCTTTCTTATGTTCTCCTTATCAGGCCAGGGATGTGGCCTCATCTGGTGCCAAATTTGGGTGTTGGTTCTTCGATGCAGCACTTGAGTTGCAGGCAGTCCCTAGTTTTTCCTTTGTTCACATTGGGCCTTTTATTTTGTTTTGCTTATTCTGTTGCCTACCCCTTAGTTTTACTGTTTTTGTGCATCCCATAGGTGAAGACTTCCTGTGTCCTTCAATAGACGAGAAGGAAAAGAGGATTTTTGTACTCGTGTAAAATCCTTTTCTTGGAGTCTAATGAGGGACATCGCAGGATCCATCTGTGTGTGTTATGGTAGCAGTAGCCTCCCTGGCTTATACATAACAGTGATCTGGGTGGCTGTAAATAAAAAAAAAAAGTGTTTTCTAGCCAAAAACACAGACTTCAACATGTGCAAAAATGGTGCAACATGATAAATGGGGTCCCTGTAAAGAAAGGTTGATACTTACCTCCCATGTTGGTCTTTTCTTTACATTGATCCTCTTTTTTGGTCTTTTGCTTTACATTGATCCTCTTTTTTTGGTCTTTTCTTTTACATTGATCCCCTTTTTTCTAAGTGTTTGGGTTTTTGTTTTTTTTTCTAGCAAAAATACAACAAATCCTTTCTTCTACCTGTTAAGGGAAACCTTTCCTGAGAAATACTCTAAGGCAGCTATTGTGGACCTGATTCCCATAATTATAGTCGTCTGTCAAGCTGACAGTCTTTCAAGACTTTATTTTCTCACGCAGAACAAGTTTACGGTCCTTTGGCCTAGAAGTATGCACATTCAATCATTATCTGCAAAGTACTGGCCAATAGGTGCCCATAACAGGCATAAGGGCATTTCAGGAAGATCTGCATGACTAGCCTCCATGTTTCTTTTCGTAATGGTTTACTATTAATGGAAAGCCTGCTAGAATCCCAACCTAGTCCTTGCAAGCTGTGTGTCTGTGCCCATCCCTCATGCAGTTGGCAGTATGGCTCAGATTTGCTCACCCAGTCTTGCTGAAGATACACTGCGGTTACTGTATTTTGTTTTTAATAGAAACAAATGGTGCCTTGTGACCCGTTTTTGAGTAAAGCCTTCTTTATGCCTTTTTTCTCTTCTTTCACTATAGTTAGGCAATTAATTTGTCATGTGACTCTGTGAATTGGCAATATAAAAACCTAAGGAGCATCTTCACGGTGCTTTAAGTACCATCCTTTGTTAGTATTTTGCATGCTGTGTGTGTTGTTTATGTATAAGCCCCCCCAACCCTGTGGTAATGCAGACAGCCTAAAGTTAAATTGCACCATCTGCTGGTGAAATAACATATCTGTTGGTGTCTGTTGAAGGGAGATGATATGCTTGGTCAAGTTTAAGTCTTTGGAGCGAGATCACTATGAATGTGTGTGAGCTTTCACTTTTTGAACTGAGGAATTATCTCCCTATGTGTGAGCATTCTAACAAGGCATGCATGAAACTACATGTGACGCACTGTACATAAGCGGAGGAGGTCCTTTGCTCAAATCAAACTTGGGTTTTAACCCTATTTTCCAAGGCCATTTGTAAAGAGATTAAACCCCACAAATGTATAGCTGAACTCCCGAGTATTTCCAAAATGTCACCTTGTCACTCATTACTCCACCACCACCACTTAATGCTGCATTTGCAGTGCTCGTTTAGTCCGGGGCATAGGGAATAAGGTGAAACACTCCCCTTACAAGCTCCCTCCATCTGTGTCACAGGTCCCCCAAAACTGCTCCTCTCCACTGTCATCACGTACAATCCCGGAACAGTGGTAGGGAAAGATTATAAATGCTTTCTGTGACCAAATAGTATTTAGAATCTCACATTAAAAAAATCTGTCCTCAGACAAAATAGAGATTTCTTTTCTCTTCCTCTTCTGACACTTGCCACTGAGACGGGTGACAAGTGGGGGAGAAATGTAAACCGCAATACGATATTGAGGGGAGGTGCGGACTATATATTCTGACTATACTAGAATAATTGTCTTTTATTGCTGCCTGTGTCCCCACTGGTGGGGATTTCACCTTGCTTCCTATCCAGATGTCGGCAGAAATCTCCCAACTGGTGACAGATGGCAATAAACGTGATTACGATGGAGAAACAGGAATATGGAGTTCTGGATTCCCTGATGTAGATAAGATTTTGGTAGGCGGTTCTCTGGTGCACAGGAGCCTTGGCTGGTCACTTGGAACAATAGACCAAAAATAAAGCAATGAGAGTATCAAACTGGTAGTAGAGTCCAGATCTAGTTTGGATTTTTAACCAATACTGCAAATAAAACTAAAGCATTTTGGGGGTTCTGAGGGCCTCCTTCACCAGGGATTATAAATGCTGATTTCTCTCCCGTTCATTGAAGGACACAGGCAACAGATCGTAGATCCTGAATGGTAGGGTAATATCGCCACCTGCAGGAGAAGGACGCTAGGCACAAAACTAAAGACCAATTACAGCCTAGGGGCGGCCCCTGCCGGTGGCCAAACCCCCCACCTGCTGACAAGTCTCCAGTTTTTTGCCTAGCGTCAGGAGTAAGGAGCTAAAAAATTTTCTCTGAAGAATTTTTTTCCTTTCTTCCGTTTGACTGGATTTTCTTCTAGCAAGTGTCCCCAGGGCGACAGGCTGGATGACTGTAGATCCTTGTAGTCTCCCCTGGGTGACCGACGAGCGCATGCAGACTCTGCTACGGTGGGTCGGCTGCGTGGGGTGGTCCTTTGACCG